CCGTTAACAGCTCCGCTGTAAAAAAGCCTTAAAAGCTACACTTACGCGGTTTGCGCAGGTGAGTTATACGGCCAGGGGGACATAGTATAGGGAGATAGTCGTATCTATCAGTCAGCTAATTAAGTAAAATTTGTTAATGGACTTTTTAATTAGTTCAAAGAGATATATGCATGATGTCACAAAAAAATGTACAGGATTTTTTTGTTTTACCGCAAAATTAAACTGGGCATCGCTGAACCCTCATTCTCCGCCCAAAGGTAGCGCTAGAGGTCCCAACCAGGTACCAAAGTCTCAGCCTGATCCGATACCTTATTCAAAAGTTATAATTGATTTTCTGAAAATGTCAATGGGAAAATGGAGCCATTTTTGCCCGTTTTCGGTTTCTGGTGCCATAGAGCCCCACCTATTTGAAAACTCCGTCGGCCGCCATTTTCCCATTGAAATTTCCAGAAAATCATAACTTTTGAATAAGATATCTGATCGGGCTGAAACTTTGGCATCGGGTTGTGACCTCTAGCGCTACCTTTGGGCGGAGAATGAGCGTTCGGCGAGCCTAGTTTATTCTTTACGCTAAAAAAAGAAAAAAAATATTTTTTTTTTGTGACACCCTGTAGTACCAGTTAGAAACTTGCTGAGCATCATTGAAAACTACTACATCAACTATTTTTAGAAGGTTATAACGCCAAGGCAGCATTTTAGGGCGTTCTGTAAAAACACTCCATTTGGATGCGTTTCTAGATTTCGGTTTCTTATGGGAGTGCATCTCTGCCCCCGCTGTCCTGCTCCACAGTGACTGAGACGCGCAACCCACGTGCGGCCTACTTCCCTCCATTCCACGGGGGAGGCGAGGAGGTGACTTCGCGCCGCGACCACCGGGGAGCAGGACGGCGGGCGCAAAGATGCGTTCCGATAAAAAACCGAATTCTAGAAACGCGTCCAAATGAAGAGGTTTTACAGAACGCCGTAAGATGCAGCCCCGGCGTTATATCCTTCTAAAAAGAGTTCATTTAGTGGTTTTCGATGATGCTCAGCAAGTTTTTAATTGGAACTATACGTCTATTTGTACTACTTAAAAAGTTAATTAACAAATTTTACTTAATTAGTGGACCGATAGTTGCGACTATCTTCCTATACTATGTTCCCCTGGCCGTATAACTCACCTGCACAAACCACATAACTGCAACTTTCATGGTTTTTTTAAACAAATCTGAAAGAATAAAAAAAACCTGTATGTATGTATGTATGTATGTATGTATATATATATATATACACACATATATATATATATATATATATATAGAGAGAGAGAGAGAGAGAGAGATATGTAGATATATATATATACATTTATTTATTTATATATTTATTTTTTAATATTGGACTATTTTGAGAGGGCGCGACACCTAGTAGCTGCTTCACCAACCAATGATCTGAGCCCGCCATTACTTGGGCACGCACTCCGAGCATGCATTGGACAGGTTCGAGAAATGCCGACTGCCAATGTTGCTCGATGGGACTACGTGTTCTTTTTTTCTTCCGACGTTTCACGCACGGAAAGACTATGTATTCGTATTACAAGCAGATTCGTCATCAAGTAATAGCCCTTTTTCCGGCGCAAAACGAGCCGCGCTCTGACCTCGCGCAAAAGTACTCGACACTCTTGATATGCCATCCCCGTTGCTTATACCTGATGCGTCCAGTGATTGCCGTTGGCTAAAGGGCAAGAGTCGGTTACCCACTGGCACAGTATACAGTATATACACTATCCAAACTCAATGCATCTTATTTCTTTTTCTGGCTGAGTGAGACGCATGGAATCTTGTCGCAGTCACGCTACCCAACCCCCCCCCCCCCCCCCCCCCATTAAAAAAAAAAAGTGTTAGCTGCAGACACGATGACAGAACTATTTGCGAACAGGTATCAAGTGTTGAAGCATGTCTGCTTCACAAAGACGTCTGCTTCGAACATGTCTGCCAACAGTGTTTGTGTGGCCAATGTGACAAGACCGTCAAACAGAAGAAACCACGCCCGAGACAGTGTCTACAGAGTGTCTTTTGTACGCTGTATCAGCGGTTTGACCGCGACTATACGGAGAGCAAGTCGTCTGCTTCCTGCGCAGGAGTTCCGGTGACGTCAGAACGACGAGCTCTCATTGGCTGATTGAAAAAGAAAGAGTGGGTAGACTTCGAGGCATCTATCATTGAGGTCTACCCACCATCTTTTCAATCAAAGCCAATCAGAGCTCGGCATCGTTCTGACGTCAATTCAACTCCTGCGCAAGAAGCAGACGACTTGCTCTCTGTATAGTTTTAAACGAATTCTTGCGGGTGTGTTGCCAACGATAAGTTGAAAACATCGTATCATGCAGCGTCCGCAGAAACACCAAGAACGATGATGTCGCTGAACGGAGAAAGCCGCGATATTAACCGACGTTTCTTTCTGCAGTGTGCACCGCACGTAATCTGGGAAAGGACGTCCCTTTCGCGAGTCAAGCGTTACAGTCACGGTAGCGTAGCCGCATACCGAGCAGTTGCAACAGCTATTAGAATCCTGCCAGATGTATCTTCTTTTTTTTTTGTATTTCCATTCTCTTATTATTATTGTTCGCACGTTGCTTGGCGACAGGACAAAGTCGACGCAACCTTTTCGGTGAAAACAAAGTCGGACTGTAAAAATGCTTCTTGTGCAATCTACACGGTCCATGCATCCTCTATTGTTCATTTTTATCCCGTTTCGATGTACATAAGCATTGTACCAGAGTGCGGGATCGTGTATCACTACTGCGTGATGCACGTAAATTCGCGGTCACGCTGTCAATATATCGGTAAAAATAAGAGTCTGTGAACACTGAGGTGTTTTTCTGTCTGCCCACAAGTTCAACACATGTTCACGTTCATGTGCAACTGTCTGCACACAGTTGAAAGTATACATGCCCCACGACGACACCACGGATGTGCAAAGGCGTCAGCAGAGTATCGGGTATCGTTATCAGAATCCTCGGAACGATCTACTAAAACTCACCGATAACGGCCGTCACGATAAAAGAACGGAACCACTATTTCCGCCAATTCCAGGCCTCTTTTTTTTTTTTTTTTTATTTTAGTTTCTATTCATTCAAAATGTGGACGCATGTCGATATCTTCGCGTTACGCATTCTGAAGTTTAACTATAATTATTCCATGATTGAGCATTCTAGTTTTAACAAAGTGAACTTGAACAAAATAAATTGTGCATTGCAAATATGTCCACGGCTGTCCGTATGCTTCTGTAAACTAAATTGCACTATTGGTAATTAGATTACCGTATTTTCCGGGCTCTAGTCCGCGGACTATATACATGTTTAAAAGTGGAAATTTTTGGCTCTGCGGACTATCTACGCGGGCGGACTATATGGGAATTTTGTTTTTCAAGATCCTTCATCGTGACGAGAAGTGACGGAATTTGTGAATGAAAGAGTATGTTAATGATGCTTTATGTATAACAGAAGCTTCTTTGTGTACTAAGAAAGCAGACATGTGTCAGGGTGTGCCGTGTGTGAGAAGGTGTTCCTGTCGACTCCCCGGTGCATTCTCAGGAGCGGACTATCGAAGCAATAACTTTTGTTTTCGACCTGGATTGGCCCCTGCGGACTTTACACCCGGTGCGGACTATAGCCCGGAAAATACGGTACTTCGATCACGGATGCCTGAGGTAGGGGCTTAAAATATGTCAGAGAAGTTAAACGTCATTAGAAAGTTTTAATGAACCGTTTTTGCACCCCCGATACGGTACGATAGGCAATCCGATACGAACTGCCCATGCGCAACCGCAGGAGGCTCTCCCATGGGCAGTTTGTACCGTATCGGATGAGCAAAAACGGTTCCCTGAAACTTCCTATTATCTAAAAAAAAACGGTCGTTCAAGTTGACATTTTCCAGTGTCGCTATGGGGAAGGTAACAATGGCGGTCTTATATTCCTCCAAAAGCAACGCTTTCCAGGTAGTGATACGTACAACCATAGTCTCCTGTATACTCACAAGGCCTGGCAGTTCGACGACGGAGCCATAGAGTGCCCGGTCGCAGATTTGGAGCGCGGGGATCTGGTACCAGAGAGCATTTCTCGGGGAACCAGGTATTCAGCGCACAGGCTTTGCAGTGGCGAGGACCCGAAACATGGTTGTCAAACCCGACGAGAAAAGAAGCGGTAGTGCGAGAAACGCGAGGAACCATGAGCGGACATTCCATCGCTCGGAAGAAGTGTGTTTCAGCGTCTCGCCGCAGCGGGGCGCCCATTACATGGCTCTCCTCTCATCTGTTGTCTGCCGCTCTACCATTTCACTTTCGGCGGCCGCGTCTCGTGGCGATCTGCCAGGCTTTGTCAGTATAAAGGAGGCTATGGTACAACACTGACCCATAGAGTAACACAGTAAACGAAAAGAGGGGACACTCGAGCCGATTCGCGGCCCACGAGCTAGGGACTACGACGACCGTTCAGTGGCACTGCAGTCACACACCTAATTTAGACATTTATCATATTTTCACCCTTGATAAATAACTCCACTCTATAACCTAACATTTCAAAATTAATAGCAGTTCCAAATACTTTTAAAAACAATTTGGACAGCTGCGGCTTTGGCTGCGGCTCAGTGGATGGCTTTGGGGCCGTCGGCTCGGCGGACGGTAGCTTTCCGGTCACGTCGCTCGAAAGGTCGGTTGGGCTGCACTTGAGTGGCTCGTGCGGGCTTCTCGACATTCTTTCGTTGTTAGAAAGGTGAGTCGTTTTACTGACACCGTATTTTGCTTGCTTTTGGCTATAGTTGGATGCACGGGCTAAAGCGCGAGCTAATTGCTCTGGATGAAGCCTCGGCAGTTGCACGTGCACGAGTGCGCTCGTGCAGCGAGAGCGCCAGTTAAGGCACTCAAGGCATACTCAATTTCATACCTCATGTGCATCGCTGTCAATGCTGGTAACGCGAGCTCGTGGCTTTTGCGCCAGCAGCTATGACAGCGTTGTACCTGGCGCCATGTATGAAGCAGGGTAGGTACCGCAGGGGGTACAGGTAGCCTTCATGCGCGCTTTGCTTAGGTTGAGGCCATCCTAGGCAAAGCGCGCTCACGAGGAAAATACAAAGAAATGGAAGGTGACAATACCGTGAAGGCTTTTCTTTATCACCACTCTTTGTTGTCGCTTTAACAATTTTGGTTCCCGAATTGCTATGAAATGAAGGCACCAAATTCGCGTAATCTCAAATTGACTTGTGCTATTTTCGTTTCCCAGCTGATGCCGCCAGGATGTTTGGCTACGGCAGCTACTGTTGCGTAGCCTGGTGCGGAAACAATGGGAGAACGCGCAAGAAGCCAGGAACAAAGTTCTTCCGAGTTCCACGAGACGACAGGTTGTCCTTTGTTTTAACAACGTACTGGACGCATAGTTCTAATGAAAACCGGAGAGAAAGCTGAATGTTTAATTAAAACTTACTTAATCAAAACTTTACTTCTGTTAGTACTAAATTTAGTTTAAAAAACATTCCGTTCCATGATAACCGGATTGTGGTGGACTAGCTTCCCAGCTCTGCAAGGCAGACTGCATTACAAATTCGTTGCTACGTGCTGAATTAACATGACATGCAAGGAAAGCACAACTCGTTTTTTTTTATTTGTTTTTTATTGAGATTAACTTTTTTAATGTTTCTATAAATGAGCAAGGCACTAAAACTAGCTGATGCCCATTGTCAGCACTGGTATAAAACTACCAAACTCCCAAAAAAGTTGCACTTCTTTTTATAGCAAATAGCATTGCGCACCTTTTAACCAGTCAGCAAAATTGTGTATCTGTGCAGTCAATAAATAACTACAACCTTCTGAAGCACTATTAGTTTGCTTATGACCTCCATGTGAAACCACAATATCTAAACCATTAAGCGCCGTTCACACTCTTGCAACCGAGTACGACCGAGAGAGACAAGACCGGTTTTTAATCCTCTTACGACTTCTTAGGACCAGCTCCGCAGCAGCGCGCCTGGTACTAAGAAGTTTCTCTCGGTCGTACTCGGTTGCAAGAGTGTGAACGGGCCTTTATGGTCAAATATTTTATTTTTAACAAAACTAAAGAATAATGAAGTTCACTACATCTTCCAGGTCAAAGGCATGGCTGAGGTATGCCAAAAGAGACGACCTTCTGCAAAAATCGTCCAGTGAGCTGCATGCGAAGTATTTCGTCTGCAGCAGTCACTTCACAGCGCGTGACTTCATGGACCCTGGGCGAACAAAGCTAATGAAAACCGCTGTGCCTTCAGTTCGCCCATCGACATATTCAGATGCTGAGAGAGCTAAAGGTAAAGATTTATTTAACTATCCATATGCGAAAAGTATATTACTTGTGTAAAACTTTATTTAAACACAATATTGCTTCTACGGCTTTACAACCTAACTTCTAATAGACGAAACTCTTCCAGACTTTATGGAAGCGACAACCCCACCGTGCGGCGCAGACCCCATGGAGGCTACAGCCTCCAGCTTCCGGCCCGAAGAACCCTCAACCGCTGCCCATGGTGAGGAAGGACTTGTGTTGGAAACAACAGCCTGGGTCTAATAGACAAATTTTTCCAGACTCCATGGAAGCGACACCCCCACCGTGCGGCGTAGACCCCATAGAGGCTTCAGCCCCATCATGCGGTGCAGCCTCCAGCTTCCGGCCCAAAGAACCCTCAACCGCTGCCCATGGTGAGGAAGGACTTGTTTTGGAAACAACAGCCTGCCTCTAATAGGCAAATATTTCCAGACTCCATGGGACCGACAACCCCACCGTGCGGCGCAGACCCCATGGAGGCTACAGCCTCCAGCTTCCGGCCCGAAGAACCTTCAACCGCTGCCCATGGTGAGGAAGGACTTGTGTTGGAAACAACAGCCTGGGTCTAATAGACACATTTTTCCAGACTCCATGGAAGCGACAGCCTCACCGTGCGGCGCGGACTCCACGGAGGCTACAGCCCCATCATGCAGCTGGCCCTTGGATTTCCGACCGGTGACACCGTCCACATGGTCCTCCTCTGAACCAGTTGGAGCTTGTAAGTGTCCCATTTCTTTTGTTCACCTGTGCCCATATGCTACTACTCATATAACTAAAATTCATGCATGTTAAGGTGGGTATTAGTTTGTCTACTTTTCCGGTGATGGGCTTTTCATGCAAAACCTGTAATATACCTTACGTACTGTATTGTCAAGGCATACAGTGGAAATATGTAAATTTAGCAAACATAGCTTCAAAAGCCCAGTTTCCCACGATTTCTAATTGTCTGTAGTTTAGGGGCATATTATCTACTTGCAGATTATGTCACTGTAAGGTAATGTTGGCTATGCTGGTTATAAGGAGAACTGCTTACCTGCTCTGATTTCGTTATTTTTATTTTTTACCCGTTTCAGGTACTTCTACGCCTCCTCTGCGCAGTTCTGCGCCGAGACCTAAGGACATCATAAGGCGTCTCCAGGCCAAGGTTTCAAAGTACCGGAAGACCATCGCAAGGCTGCGCAAGCAAGAGAAGAATATGCCTCGATCGGCTGCGGAAGCTCTCAACATCATTCGCCCTCACGTGACAGACGAGGTATTTCACCTACTGTCAAGCCATGTTAAATTGAAATCCAAGGGCAAGGGAAAACGATTCCCGTTATGGTTGAAAAAGTTTTCTCTTCATCTCAACTTCCGTGGGCCGCGGGTATACCGTTTTTTGTCTCGTTATCTCACTCTTCCTACTCAGCGCACACTAAGAAGATGGCTGTCGGATGTCAAAATGGCACCTGGAATTATACCAGGCATTATGTCATCCATTTTTACAAAAACACAATCATGGAGTAAGCGCGATCGCGTCTGCACTCTCATCTTCGATGAGATAGTGTTAAAAAAAAACTTGTCATATGACGTGTCACAAGATGTTGTTCATGGATTTACGGATGATGGCTACGAACGAACCTCAACGATTGCCGACAGAGCCCTGGTTATCCTCCTTTCCGGAGTTTCCCGGAGATGGGTTCAACCAGTCGCTTATACAATTGGGCACACGTCTACGCCATCTACCGTAATCCGGAACTTGTTGATCTCGCTCACTGAGCAGTTGCATGACATTGGAATTACAGTTAAAGCTGTAATTTGTGACCAAGGGGCTTCCAATGTAAGCTTAGCAAACCAGCTTGGTGTCTCTGTGGCGCAGCCCTTTTTTTTCGTAAAACGTGAACGCGTTTACTTCATTTACGACGTTCCCCATTTAGTGAAAACAACTCGGAACAACCAGCAGGCCCACAGGCTTCATATCGAAAATGAGATTGTAGACTGGGCAGATATTGTGAAACTGTACCACTCCACACATGAGATGCGACTGCGGTTGGCGCCAAAGTTGACTGAAAGACATATCTACCAGAAACCTTTCAGTAATATGAAGGTTAAGCGGGCGACCCAGGTATTGAGTGCTTCAGTGTGCGTCGCGCTTTTAGCTCTTGTCGATGCGAAACAGCTGCCTGAAGCAGCCATGTCAACTGCTTATTTTTGTGACCGCATGGACAAGCTGTTTGATTGCTTGAATAGCTACAGTCCAAAGAAAACGGAGCAAAAGTTGCGCCATGCTATTCGAAAAGGGCAGCCGGATTTAGTTGAATTTCTCGGAAAACAGCTTCCAGGATTGCGTCTTGGAAGTTCGAAGGCAAACGTCAGCCACACACTATCATCGGGTGGCAAATTACGATCAAAGCCGTCTTGCTGCTGTGGGAAGATGTTTCCCAGAATTACGACTTTGAGTTTCTCCTCACGCGTCAACTTCAACAAGACCCACTTGAACAGATGTTTGGACACATAAGACAAAAGCAGGGATGCAACTCGAATCCCAATGTGCCTCAGTTCATATCTGGCCTGAAACACATTGAGATTCAGAAGCTCCTCACACTGTCACCGAAGGGAAATGTCGAGGAGGATGAGACGGACCTCCTCCAGGAGTTGTCTCCATTTTCACTTAGTAGCGAGTCACTCGTGGATGTTGTGCAGCATGTCCCACAGGACGACTTTCCATCTTTGGAAAACATCACCGAGTTGGCAGCCCATGAGGAGTCCCATGTTATTGACAACTCTGCTACTTATTATGTTGCTGGCTTCATTGCTAAAATGTTTACTGAGAAGGCTGCAGAAGGTTGTTGTTGTCCTGACTTGCTTAGAGATGAGCACAGTAACCTTGATGAGCCACATCAGTTTTTTATGATGCTGAAAGCGTACCACGTCCCAGGCAAGCTCTTCGGCAACTTGACTGTGCCATCAAGCGCAGCTTTCACACTTGTTCAGCAGCTCGACTCAATCTTTCTTTCTGTTATCGAAAGTGTAGCGCACCTCCGAAGTGTTTGTGAAACATTGTACAGAACTCTCTCGCGTGTTGGTGATTTTAATTTTTGCACTCCAGAGTGTCGTGCACGGTTTTTAAAAATGTTTTGCCGAATTCGATTGTGCTGGCATGTCCGTTTTGTAAATAGAAACTTGGATAAAGTTCGCTTCCATTCTCGCGTCTCTGGTGTACAGCCTGAAAAGTTCAGTGGGTAGAAGATGATGTTTCAGCCCTTATGTTGCATCTCATAAGATATCTGCAACAGTAAAATTAATTTTATTGGGATTTTACTGGGCCGTGCAGACTGCACACTAGCCATTTGTTGAGATTATTTGCAGTCAGTAGGTTGCACTCTACTGGTCTATTGTAATGACTGCTTTTTTAGATGGTCATGTCTGTTTTTTTCCTATTGTGGTCATGTGGAATGTGTAAGTTCCCATATTGATCTTTGTTAATACTCTCTTAGGTCACTCATCTCGGATGCAACTTTCTTTTCTTTTGGACACTGTTTCTGCTTTACACATATGTGGAGCGTGAAGGAGATTGAGATCAGGGGTGTCCACCAACCTGGCAAGCCTGAAATGCTCAGGGAATTTTGGATCACCTGGAAAAGTCATGGAATTATCAGGGAAACTGTCAAAAGGTTGGCTAAATCAGGGAAAGTGACGAGTAAAAGTGGCACGGTGGTGCGGAACGAAGCCCGGCGATCAGGTGTCGTCACGGTTCTGCTGAATAACATTGCCCGAAATGTCATCCTTCGAAGGAAGGAACAGCCAGGAAATTTTATCAAAATAGTCAAGGGAAACCTGGAAAAATCATGGACTTTGGAAAAGTCATTGGGTAGACACCTTGTAAGATGTACCTAATTAGGCAGTGCAGATTGCATGCCAAGCCTTGGTGGAATCATTTGTGATGAGTGGGTCGCAGGTACACCGGGCACCAGTCTGATTTAGCAGTCTTTTGTCAGCCATTTCATGTGCGCTTGTTATGGTAGTGGTCATGGTAAACCTTACATGTTAAATGTGACATCTTAAACGTGACATGAACGTAAAACCTGTATTAGACCGTCGGTTGGCTTTCAGTTCTTGTTATTTTGGTCATTATTGTTACTTAAATCAGCAGGTGCAAGGTATTTTTAATTCTGTAGTTCAGGCTGTGTTAGGGTTATTTAATGACTATGTCACAGACTAAGAAGGTCTATACTAGTGGCAATCTTGTTTAGGCATTTACTTGTCTGTTTTTCTCATTGTGGTCATCGTGTATTTCAGATTTCTTCTGCTGAGCGTTTTATTTGCATACAAATTGCATTGGATCAACGAGCTTTGATACTGCATGGCCAGTTTTTTTTTAGTATGTGTTGCTGATGCTGCATGTGTTATGTGTGTGGTGCACCTTCCATGGAACATGCTTGAGAACACAAAACAGGCTTGCAATCCAATTGTAGTTGTAACATTGTAATTCCAGTTGTTTGATAAGATTTTCATGCATGCCATAATATGCTTGTCATTTTTTTGTAGGATGTATTGTTTGTGAATCCTTGATGCACGGTGCTTATGTTTTGTAGTTTTGGTAATTATATACGAGGCACAAACTGCCCACCATATTTTTGTTGCGAAAATAAACTGTGTTGATTACTCCCTGGTGGTGTTCTTCTGGACAGCACAAACCTACATGGGTTTCCTGGCTTGTAAAGTCAGTGTTAACTGTATATAGTATTGTCCATTAGTTGTCCGCATTAGGAATCGTACATACGTGTGAAGTAATTACAGCTGAAATTTACCATGCGGGAATAGTAGGAAAAACATAACTCGCGGCAAACCAGATGGCGCAGGCTACCGCCCAATACACTACGCCAAACTATATATCTATCCATCCGGTAAGTATTTTTATTGTGACTCCATTCATTCAGTTGGGGACTACGACGGCCGCTGGGTGCGCTCCCTGCCAGCTAAATGGGCCGCTGGGGCCTATGGGAGTGTCCGCTCTTTACCTGTAGATTACTCTATGACTGACCTGGGATTCCGCTGATCCCTTCAAACTCCTTCGGTCGTGATTCCGAGTGACATTCTTATACAATAGACCCTTTCCGAAATGGTGAAATCATGGGTGGATTATGCGCAGCCGCCATTATAGTTGGTCTCATCGCTTCCGGCGTGAAGCCCGTGATTGGTTCCGAGTTCGCGCCGAACACTGACGTAGCACTCGTGTGAAATGAGTTTCGACCCGACTAGACTTCGAATGCTGCCAAAGCGCTCGTGTCCAATGTGGGCTCACAGTGCATGACTAAATAATGGCGGCCACACATAATTTATGCCTTCCAAATTTCGAAAACGGTCTACTGTGATGAACGAAATGTCAGTGCAACCTTCACTTTTAAGATATTTTTGTTCTTTCCGAATTCTCCGATCTGCCACCTCTGACGTTGTCACCTTTGGCGGTTCGTCGGCTTTTCTTGAAGAACGTTTCCAGACCCGGCTACAATCTTTTTTTTTTCTTCTTTTTTCCTTTAGGAAATCAATGGCTTCCGACACACGCGGCTCCCTCCGCATAGAGGTTTTGAGTCTCCGTCAAAATCGCACGTCCCACTGCCGTCACGTCTCGTTAAAGAGCTCTCTTTCAAGATGTCGGGGTGACCGAACAATAAACAAGTTTCTCGCATACTGGACTTGTACCATGCCGCTTGCGACGATAGAACACACAAGAGCCACGACATAGTCGGAGGGCACGCACACACACGCCGACGGTCAAAATAACGAGGCGCTTAGCGTATACCTGGACAGAGCAGCAACTCACGCTTGCTCCCGGATTAGTGTGCCTAGACTTGAGAGTGTTTTCAACTGCTTGACCGGGGTCACGGACCATGGTTCTGCAGCGCGAACTTTCGCTCCACTTGCTTCGAGATGGTGTGCGCTAGATCACTCGGCCACCGATCCCCGAGAAAGGGTGCAACTTAAAGGGACCCTGCAATCATATTTAAGCGTCTACCTTTCTTGGTTCGGGCAAGCCAACGGGCACGGAAAGAGTAACTAAATATCAATGCGTCATGTTTTAACCGGACGACGCGGAAACCTCCTCCACCTATGGGGGCGACCCGCGGTGCCGAAAGCACGCGATATGTGAAGCCTTTGGTCATGGGCTTACTACTGGTCAGAACCGCTAATAGCTTTTGTTTAGTCGAAATACAAAATATATATGGCGCGAACCGTTTCAATTTTTTATGAAAGTGTTTGTTCAGTATTTTAGGTCAGAAAAAAAACAAAAAAACAAAAAACAAATGCAGTTTATAAAGTACGGAAACAAGAAATGGCCAGTCGACATACCCGCCACCAAGCGGTGGAAAAGGCGCCGCATACCAGGAAGAGGTTGTGGGATCAGGCACCGACGAGCGGCGATAGTAGAAAGGTCCCGGATGCACACGGCAGAGGTGCGGTCGTATTGCGGACGAGGACAGACCGTAACACCCCAAGCGGTTAACTTTAGAACTACATGGATGGGG